CGCTGTGACACACATCTTATCACCCAACGTCGTCGCCTGTCCTCACTAAGCTCTTGTGGCTGATGGGAGCAAATCCCTGCAACCAGAAATCTGGAAAGCCTTCCCAGAAGATTGAAGGCTGTCATAGCAGCCTATTAATGCCCACGGTTTTGGAACAGAAGATACATTGACAACTGTTTTAATAATGAATTAATCATTGAAGTAATCTTTGAGGAAAATGGCAAACGTGACAGTTCCAGGCTCTGAAATGTTTTAATTTGCTGCTTTTGGCCATATAGTGTGAGCAATGTGTTGCTGGCATGGAGTGAAATGTGTGGGCGTGTGGTGGTGTGTGCTTGTGTGTCCAAATGAAATGCAAACCTTTTTTTTCACATTCTTCTCTCTCTCTCTCTGTCTCTGTGTGTGTGTGTCTCTCTCTGTCTGTCTCTCAGCCCAGGGGAAGAGCAGGAGGCAGAGTGTGTTGTTTTAGTGCTGGCGGGGGCGCTGAGGTGAGGAGGACGGTGACACGTGGAGCTGTCCTGTCAGACATACATTCACTGACCCTGCCACACACACACTGAAGGAGCGACACACACCCTGCTGCAAAAACACACACACACACACACACACAGAAGAAGAAGAAGAAAACACCAACATGGAAACAAAACCACACAGAATTTAGGTTGAAGAATTCATACTTGACGATAAAAAAAATAAATAAATAAAGACTCAGCTCAACCCTAAAGACAGAAAAATAAGTGACGAGAGAAGTGCGGAGATTCTGGAGGAATGGTGGGAGAGTACAAGATTCTCCTTGCTGCTACTACCGCTGCTGTCCAGAAGAGGGCAGCGTTCAGGACGTGGGCCGACTGGGCTCTTTTTTTTGAACAGAACTTGCTGCATCAGTGAGCTGTGAGGACGGAGGAGTGAGATGCGATTCGAAGGCGAGGAAAGAGAGAGAGGAAACCTGTCTCTTTCTCTTTTGCGCTTTTATTTTTATTTTGTTTGGACTGTTGTTGTACATAAAGAGACTGAGCTGTAGAACTCTGCTTTTTTTTTGTTTCATAACACGCCTCAGCCTGAATCCAAACTCTGAATATTGCACCTCAACCCTAAACCCCTCGCCTAACCTCTTGGCCCTTTATTACACAAACAACACACACAATTTCTCTCTTTCTCTTTCTCTCATTCTCTTTCTGTATCTCTCTATAACACACACACACACACACTTATGATTCACTTGAAAGAGTGTGTATATCAGTGGAGTTTACAAAGATAAACTTTAGCACCTTATTGTCCAGTAGAGGTCAGGGTGGCTGTCATTACGTTACCTCATCAGTCACTCAAGCAGAGTAGGATGTAAAGTACATGCTAGATAATAGAATGAAGACGAATCAAAATAACAAACCAAAAAAAAAAAAAAAAGCGAAACAATGACTCACTAACCATGTAGGACAGACGTTTTTACTTTCACCTCTGGAATTGGACACTACACTGCGATTTAAAAACACTCACAAACCAGTAGGAGACAATAACTGCATTTGTCACATTGCTCACATGCTGTAAAGACCACCACACTGCACCTGTTTCAGTCCGCAACGAGGACGACCTGTGAGGACGGAGAGGTAAAGGAAGTGTACAAATCCTCACGTGCTTATTCTCAGACGCCCCCCTCTCCTCTTTTGCCTTGACTCAGAAGTTGTCTTGATCTGTTGTGTGACGTTCAGGTGTTGATGTTCAAAAACGTTCTCCTTGCACCTGATTTTACCTCTTTAGACCACGAGTAGACCATTGGACAACCCCGAACCTCTCCTGCCCGACTCCACTTGCATTTATTTTTACTCTTTCTTTTCCTGTATATATGAGCATACTTTTTACGTGTCAGAAGCAATGATAATTCCAGGATGCTGTTCTCAGTCTTTACTGTGTTCCCACCGGAACAGTGCGGCGACTGGCTGGGGACGTGTTGCACATTCCTTGAGCTCAGGACTTATTGCTAGTGTCGTTTTGTGGATGCTGTGAGGCGCAGCCGGTCTTGTACGTCTCCCCAGTAGAGAAGTGTTTCGAACGTGGCCCGAAACCCCAAAGCTGGTGCAAACTGTACGTGAGGAAGAAGAATCATTTCTCAGCATCAACCTGTCAGTCGTCTGTGTCACACTCTGTTCATTTTACCATGATATTGCTGTTCAGTGACTACCTAACCCATGTCTGCACTTGTCATCTTCTTCAAGCATGTTTGTGTATTTAACACTCAGTTGGTATGTGAAATAGCTGCTGCCGGAAAAAGAATAGTTGGTTTGAACTGTGCATGGGACATGAGCTTATTACACGATTTTTCTTTACACCACATTAACCTGTAGTGGCTCCTCAGTGAGTCTGGAGACTGTGCTCTTAAATAAGATGAAGACAGTGACAACACATTATTCAGCAGCAATGTCATGTGCTGCCAGCATTGGGACCATATAGTTTGTATGACAACTCTGACTCAACTTCAAGGTGTGTACAGTGCAGTTACAACTGTTGCGTAGCCTGTATAACTGGGCGCTAACATCTCGGAGTATTAAGCAGGACTTGAGGCACTCAGACACACTGTTGTTTCCCGCTTATATTGTCACAGGCTGCCAGAAACAACAGGACCAAAGTCAAGCCTCCCCAAGCACCAGGTGTTCAAGCACACAACTGTTCCACACACCAATCAGTTGACTTGTCAACATGTACTGTATCTGAGAGATGGCCTGTGAGTGTAGACTGGAGTTTCCCGTTCCTCAGGCGCTGACCTCGGGTCACTTCCACATCTTTCTCTGAAGTAGATTCACAAAGGGTGAAGTGATCCCTCGTCTTTGCCTGTCAGAAGGACTACTTATTTACCCAGAGTGTGACAGTATGTAGCATGTACATAGATGATCCCTCACTCTGTATATACAAAAGTGTACAGGTTTGATACAGCTATTCACACTCTGGCTTTTTTCTTTTTTCTTTTTTTGCTTTTCCTTAATGAAAGTCATAGCAATATTTCTGTAATCAATAAAAAAAGCCAAGGTAATAGGAAGAGTATGATTGCATTTGTGTTTCTTTAGAGAGGGAGAAATGACTGTGAATGATCAAACTGTGAGACTTGACTAAAGTGACGACAGGTTTTTTTTTTTTTTTTCGTGTGTGTTTTTTCTTGCTGTTTAACATGCTGGATCCAAAAGGCTGGAGTGAAGTATCATGTTGCAAAGGAGTATAACACACTGATTATTTTGATTTTTATCAATGAAAGCCATAAAGGTCATATAAAGGTGACAAAGGTCTTTGTGCGAAGTGTGTACCATGTTTGAGCACAGACCTTAAGAAGCAAAAGGGGATGTGTACACCTAATGAAAAAAAATAATAAAAATCATGTAATTACTTTTTTCCTTGTCATAAATCCTTTGAGCAAATGTCGCCAACTAGTATGACAGATTACATCATCAACTACATATATATACTCATTGTTCATCATTACAGGGCTTTGGCAGTTCGCTGCAAATCCTCATCTCTTCTTAATTTGCTTCTCAGCTTTGGGTTAAGTATGTAACAAGTCAGAGCAAATACTTTTACTTGTGTTAAAGGGATTTTTTTAACACTGTCTTCACTTTTTAACGTTTAACATGACTAAAATGGAATTTTAAGATGTGAAAAATTTAGTATTAAAACAAGCAGTATGTAAGATTTAGTGACATCTAGTGGTGAGGATGCAGATTGCAACCAGCTGAAACTTCTCCCATGTGCCAAGCATGAACTCCCATAAGAACTACACATTCGTTTTGTCACTTTCACTTCCGGTAGTAAGTGGCACAGGTGTGGGTGTGGTTTTACATTATTTTCCCTGTTCATTCACAGGCAAAGAGGGTGAGTGTTGGCTCCGATATTTTTTCACGTAACGGTATGATATCATGTAATCACAAGACATAATTCATCTCATTTTGCTTTACTTATCTCATTAGTTTGTTTAATAAATCACCATAAAAACGCAACGTTGGACTTCAGCATGGACTTTATTGAACGAATCACAGTAAAGAGCCCACTCAGCCTCTGCTCAGCTTTTTTTAATTGATAGTAGTCGCTACCCTCCTGGTTAGGAGTCTTTCAGTGTTCAGGAGGTCTCTTCCTCTCAAAAGCAAATAGATGAAGTGATTAAAACCATGATAAACGCCGAATAAAGCAGATTGACATTACAATTTTTTTTTGTGACACTGTTTGGGTCATCACACAAAAGCACAAATGACCCAATGTCTTGCCAGTGTTTGGTTTGTTCATTCTACTATTAATGCCAATACTGTTATGTCTCCGGTGTAGGGGAACCTAGATATAACATGCTGCGACTCCCTACCTTTCCCACTCCCAGTTACACATTATACGATTTTCACCGATTCACGATTTTGAGGCCGTAGAGGATCTTGAGAGCCACCTTGGGTCGGAGGTGAGTCGGCAGATAGTCTGCCACGACGAGTCCTCGTGTGTGAACACGCCTACGAGCAAGTCGCCCCCTCGTCTGAGACTGGGACAGAAACACACATCATGGCATTGCCAAACAAAAAACCCACTCATAACTCTAAAAAGTAAACTGTTAAACAAAACTCAACTCACCTACTCAACCAAACAACGACCAAATAACATTCCTAAATGACAAAGTTATCAAAATATTCACACTAGTCTATTAAAATCAAGATTTTCTTTGCTAGCAGGTACTTAGAAACAATTTCTGTTGGTAGTGGAAGAGTGAAAAGGAGGGGAGAGCTTCTGTCAGCTGGTGGTTTAAAAATCCTCTGTCCTGCATTGGACCAATCCGGTGACAGCAATCTCTGCGGACAGCCCTATCGGCACACACCACCTGCCTTGCAACATCCAATCACACTCCACTACATGCATCCCACTCTGAGGGGAGGAGCGAGAACATCTGACATCTGACTTCACACAATATCTTGGATTTGAATCTTTAATCTTCAAAACTTTTAGTCTTTCCACCCTGAATCTGACAACTCTCACAATCGTCATGGTGAAACACAAAGGATAGCACATGATCAACAATATCCATGACAGAGAGCAGGACAAAGGGTTTGTCTTTATTGTCAGGATACATAAAACGTGGTGACAGCCGCAGCAGGAAAAAGATTGAACACACGGAGAGTCTTGTTTGACGATGTTGCCTTCTTCCTTTTTTTATCCTGGGTGTGTCTACATATGTCCTTTCAGATATGCAGTCCAGTGTAGAGGGTAGACTAATGGCTGAAGGTCGTTCTGGTGATCTGGTGCTGCTGTCATTCTTTCAAAGACTCTTTCGGCGAGACTCTTTGGGTCTTGCCGAAAGAAGCGACCGTGGTCTCATCCTCAGACATCTGTGGATCTGAGGCCCAAGGGTTCCACCCACACAGGACTGTGGGAACAGCGTATGCTCGAAACTGGTAACACACAGCACATGGTCAGCAATAGCGTATGGTTATATATTCCTTTTTGAATATAAATGTGCATGATGGAGGATTACCTGTCTGTTCATGAAAATATATATGATGGGGTTGTAGACAGTGCTGCTTTTAGCCAAGTAAACAGGTACGGTGGCAATGATGGGGTCAATATTTAGACTGGAGTCCATGATGACAGCGAGGGCCATGCCAGCATATGGCAGCCAGGTCACTAGGAAGGCCATCACCATTACCACTATCATGCGTGCCACCTGCACCTCCACGCGGTTTGTGCTGCCGGCCTCGGATACCTGCAGCTTGGCCACCTAGGACGCCAAAACACAAGACGTCAAGGAACAGTGTGAAGGATTTAGGTAGAGTTAGTGGCATTTAGGGGTGAGGATTGCAGATTACAACAAGCTGAAACTCCAGTTGAAGATTTCCTTCAATGTTTATTGTTCAGGACGTTTTTACTAGAAGCCAAATTATCCACAGAGGTCTCTTCCCCTCCAAAACAAACAAAAGGGCCCCTGTCAGATTATGATGCTGGTACAAGCAACTGAAGTACACTCATCTTTGAGTGCACCCACATGCCCCAACATTTACATCGCTTACCTGGCGGAGGGTCCACAAGAGCCGTGAGTAAGACGCCATAATGATGGAGAATGGCACAACAAAGCAAAGGAAAAAGTATATGATGATGTAGGACACGTCCCCGACATCCCGGCTGTTCCAGTTAGGGGCGCAGGAGGTCTTGATGCCCTCCAGCTCGTAACTTCCCCAACCGAACAGAGGTGGCGTGTTCCACACAAACGACCACAGCCAGGACAGCACCACTCCACTGACAGCATGCCTGAGGGCAACAGAGATGGTGTGTCACATGCTGGTGGAGCAATCGAAAATTAGTAGTCGGGGTGATGCTGCCAAGTGAAATACTGATGGTCACTTCTGTACCTGGTCTGGAACAGGACAGCACCCATGGGATAACACACCACCATGTAGCGTTCAACAGAAATGACTGCTATTGTGCACAGGCTTGCTATACCTAAAAAAGAAGTAATATATGAAGACTGAATTAATTTTTTGTTGAAAATATCCTGCGACATAGCAATTCATGACATGCAAATTCAGTAGTAGTAAGTAACAAACATTTACTTCAGCTCAGTTTTTAATATTCTTGTTTTGTGCCACTTGTTACGTTTCAGAGGGAAATATTTTGCTGTTTACAGCACCACATTGGCCACACAGCTCTATTCATGGATGGATTACTGCGCAGGCCTACTGGGCACAGGCCCAGGCTCACCTGTCACAGCCTCCATCTGCAAAATGTCACTAAAATTACTGTCCAGGAAGAGACTTAAAATTACCACAAAGAAGAGACAAGAAGAGATGCAAAGGAACTGCGAAGAGACAAAAAATGGCAAAACAGACACAAAATTACCTCAGAGAGACACAAAACCACAAAAAGATGCATAAAGACTAAAGAAAGATGGAAAATAATGACTTAAAAAAAAGGCATGGCCATCACAAAGTCTGTGTGTCTTGCTCCTATATAGGAAAGGTGGTGAGGCCTTCTGCATATCTGTGCCCAGGGGCCCACAAAACACCCACACCTTATAACTTCCAAAATATGGCACACTGTTAACGATGAAACCGTTATGTGCCCAAAAAAAGCAGCATCTAGTTGAAACCTCATGTCACGTTTCAGAGGTTAGCAGTCCCACCAAAGAGTGATTTCCCTTCTAAACCTCTCAGGTGCCATCATGATGACTTTTCCAAGCCAAATAAAGGTGAAATGATCTTATAATTTACACAAGAAAAGCTGACATATGAGAAAATTGTAGGGGGTTGGACCCTAGGGCTGAAAACCACTGGACTACACTACAGAGGTGCATATAATAAAACTAGCTCCACCTTGACCAGCTACAAAATGCTAGCTTTGCATTGATGCATCAAAAACAATCTAAAATGTAATATATACCCTCACTGGCCACTTTATTAGGTACACCTGAACTGCTTGTTAACTCAAATAACAAGCAGTGACCTGAACTGCTTGTTAACTCAAATAACAAGCAGTGACAGCAATTGCATTTAGGCATGTAGAAATGGTCAAGACGACCTCCTGAAGTTCAAACTGAGCATCAGAATGAGGAAGAAAGGAGATTTAAGTGACTTTTAATGTGGCATGGTTGTTGGTGCCAGACGGGTTGGTCTGTCAGAAACTGCTGATCTACTGGGATTTTCACACACAACCATCTCTAGGGTTTACAGAGGATGGACCCAAAAAGAGAAAATATCCAGTGAGGAGCAGTTCTCTGTGTGAAAATGCCTTGTTGATGCCAGAGGTCAGAGGAGAATGGCCAGACTGGTTCAAGATGATAGAAAGGCAACAAATAACCACTGGTTACAACCAAAGTCTGCAGAAGACCATCTCTGAACCAACAACACGTTCAACCTTGAAGCAGATGGGCTACAGCAGCAGAAGACCACACCAGGTGCCACTCCTGTCAGCTAACAACAGGAAACTGAGGCTACAGTTCACACAGGCTCACCAAAACTGGACAATAGAAGATTGGAAAAACGTTGCCTGGTCTGATGAGTCTGGATTTCTGCTGCCACATTCAGATGGTAGGGTCAGAATTTGCTGTAAACAACATGAAAGCATGGATCCATCCTGCCTTGTATCAACGGTTCAGGCTGCTGCTGGTGGTGTAATGGTGTGGGGGATATTTTTATATTTTATTTTATTTTATTTTATATTTTATTGTCTTTATAGTGGCACTTGATGCATTCAAACTGTTTTACTACTGACTGTATGTTGTCTGCTAGTGCTTCTGTCTTGCTGTGCATAACTATGTCCTGTCTGATAATGCTTATGTCTTGCGTGTAACGTGTGTTTCTCGTCTGCTAATTTTTATATCTTGTTGTGTATAACTGTGTCTTATAGTTAATTGCTTATTTATTTTATTAAATTTTGTTTTATTTTACTTTATTTAATTAAATTTTATTCTATATTATTTGATATTTTATTTTTATATCTTGCATATAACTGTGTCTGTTGGTTAATTGCTTATTAATTTATTTCATTTGTTTTATTTTATTCTATTTTATATTATTTTATTTTATTTATATATTTTGTTGTATTTAACTGTCTGTTGGTTAATTGCTTATTTATTTTTCATTTTATTTATTTTTTATTTTATTTTTTTATCTTGTATATAACTGTGTCTGTTGGTTGACTGCTTATTTATTTATTCTTATTTTTATTTTATTTTTTTATTTCTTTAGGTGATGTCGTGTTGAAAATTAGCCTTTGGCTAAACTGGCACATCTACATTATGTTGATAATACTTCTGTTCCTTTACTTAACCAGGATCATGATTACTTAATTAAAAGAGGTTTTTTTTTTTTGTTTTTTTTTACATAGCTGCATTTTTACTCAGGCAAATCATCTGATTACTTCTTCCACCACTGCGCAAATAAAGCCATACCAAGCTGTGAGTAACATGCAAGCTATCAATGGACTCACCAAAAAAGGCAACAGCAAAACCCTCTAACATGCAGCCCACATGTCCCAGGCTGAAGTATCCCATGGCACTGGTTACTGTGGTGGGCAGACCTCCAAACACAGCACAGCCCAGGTCACATATGGCCAAGTTTACCAGGGCATAGCTGAGCGGCTGCCTCAGCTGTCTGTGCCTCACTGTCACCACAATCACCAGGAGGTTGAGGATGATCCCAGCCACGGAGAACACACCCATGATAACAGCCAGTATTGTATAGCCGCTCTGAGACAGGAGCTCTGTGTTGACTGAGCTGTGAGATGATGAGGAGTTTCCATCGTGGAGGGGAATATGCTCCATGTTGCTCAGTGTAGATGAGGTGAGTGATCCAAATGCTTCCTGGAAGTGTCAACTTTAGCTCAAATTGCATCCAAACAAAATTTAAAAAACAAAAGAAAATCAATAAAAATCTATTCAGCAATCCAACAACATCAACAACCACAGAGGTCAGCTCTGGAGAAGAGAAGGAGATGTGACCCTCTTAATAAGCCCAATAAGAGTAGGGATACTCTACACCATGACATTTAATTCTTGAAACCCAAATCTGTCGATCCGGATTATGAAGACAATAATTCGGCTTAATATCCTGTAAGACTGCACTTTCCATGATTGCTGGCTCTACAGCTGCTCCTGAGTAATGAAGCAGGGATTCAGTAGCACAATGTGGGTTTTAGAATCACAGTTAAACGCGTGCCTGCTGGTTAAAGGCATAGACAGAGCATTACTGCTTGTTAACGTCACAATTTTTTTGTTCTTTTTTACTCAGTACACAGAGGCTTAACTTTAATTCTATGTGGCACAGCTTGCACATGCACTTATTTTGGATTAATATAAGTCAGCGAAACAAACTATAAATAGGTTTGGTTTTGAATGTACTAATCAATCAAGCCCCTTTCTAAAGAAGTCAGAGGTCAAAGGCTCCAAGTATGTTTTAGAATGGATTTTAAGATTTTACTGATTACCTTTAAGGCTCCTCATGATTTCTCTCCCAGCTACATCTCTGACCTCTAAGTGCCACACACACCAGGACGTACTTTGAGGTGCTCGGACGGAGGTCTTTTGTCTGTTTCAGAGGTCTGGCTGAAAACTAAAGGGGACAGAGCGTTTGCTGTCAGGGCCCCGAGGCTCTGGAATGATCTGCCTGGGGAAATCAGCTCAGCTGAGTCAGTGATGTCTTTTAAGTCCCTTCTTAAAACATGGTTTTATCGTATGGGAGAGTCTTTCCTGATTTTACTTGAGTTATAATTTAAACTGTATTTTATTTCCTCAGTTTTTATACGCTAAAATGTTTTGATCAGTTATTTGTGACATGTGAAGCACTTTGTAACTCTGTTTTGAAAAGTGCTTTATAAATAAAGGTATTATTATCGTTACATAACTGTTCAAAAACTTTCTTTTCATGACATAATGTAAAAAAATTCACGAATGTAACAAAATTTGGAGACAAATATTTCATGCAAAGACTTTAATTCATACATAGTCTGCAGTACTCTACAGCAGCACACACTTCTCTCTATGTGTTATCATTCTTAATGATCATTTCAAATATAGCCTTCAAAAACAGATCCTTTTCACAATAATTAAAAATACTTTGTTCTGTTTCAAGTATGTAGCATAATCTTTTTACATCTATATATACATTATATTAAATGCAACAGACTAGGGGTCTTCAACGTTTTTCAGGCTAAGGACCCCTTGGCCCAAAGACAGACAGCAGGGACCCCTACTAGGCCTACATATATTTAAAAAAAAAAAAAGAGTTGCACTTGAGATAGTTCTGAATATTTTTCGGGTCTTCTCTTGTTTGCCTTGCTTAGCAGCAGTTGTAGCATTGCTAGGTGCGTTAGCCTCACCCTCTGCACTTTCACTGGTAGTTTCTACGGGTGTGTCAGAGTCTGTTAAAAAGTTATGAAACAATCCATTTTGGCACACAAGAATGTCTGTACACTTGACATAGTAATATAGCTAAGTGGCTAATATGCAAAAATAATTACAGGTGCCGCACAGTGATGTAGCGTGCGCTAGCTCACACGATCGCTTAACGATTCCTGGGTAACAGTCAGCCAATCAAAAATGTTGTGTACTGTTAACCATTAGGTTTTATGAATAGGCTAGGGTGACCATATTTTGATTTCCAAAAAAGAGGACACTCGCCCCGGCCACGAGATAGGCTACTTAAATGATACTCGCAGTTTACTCAAAGATGCCTTATAATTTTAATATAATTAAAGTTTATATGTATGGATAGAAAATTCAGTTATATTACAAAATAATATCTCTTAAAGACAGAAATTTGGATAGGCTTCTCAGAGGTTACTTAACTTGCTTTTATTATGCCTAAAATAATAATCGTTTTACAAGTTTCATTTGTACAAAAATAAATATAAATGTAAAATAAATGTAAAATCTCTGGAATGAAATAATGATAGAAATAATGTCTCTTCTGTATTAGAAAAATCAACTTGTAAAATAATAGCTATCTTTTCAAGTCTTACTGGACAAATAAATAATTAAATATTATGAAATAATGTTCTAAATAATACCTCTTATGCATCTGAAAATCCAACTTTGAGCTCCCCGGCACCTTTATTAGACACAGAATCATATATGCAAGCTTTGCACACGGTGCACTCAGCCTCCCATATATCCCGACCGGGTCGGGACGGTAAGTTGGGAATTTTTTCTGCAGTTCATCTGTGAAGCTGCACTTGCGCTTTGGTATCTTGGAAGCTTAGAATAATGCTGCGTCGCGGGTGTCTGCTGCTTCCTCGTTGTGAGTGTTGGAGATCCGACGATAAGGCAGCCTCTCGGGGGTTACGCACACACACAAGGAAAACCGGACATTATCATCAATTTATAAACAGCCCCCGGATGCCCGGACAGGACGTGAAAAGAGGACGTTTGGTCAGCCTAGAATAGGCAAATTTATCTTGGCTTATAATATATTAGATTCACGTTAATGTGGATTTTCAGACACATTTTACTTAATAAAAATTTCATTAATTAATTAGATTATTTAGAGGTCATCTGGTGGCCCCCCTATAGTAACTCTGAGGACTCCCTAGGGGTCACGGACTCTCTGTTGAAGACCCAGGGGATAGACTATATAATACCAAATGCAAATAGGCCTACATCTTCTCTCTGTGACTACTTACACATTTCATGCACAAAAAAAGACAATAAAAGATGGTGCATAGAAAGAAGCTGTACACCCTCCTGTATGAAAATAGAAACTATCAATGCAAGATGTGCACCAACAGTCTGGAGCCTACCATTCAGTCAGTCTTAGATAATCACGGTGTTAACATGGTTACTTTACATTTCACTTTCCCATTCGTCACAATGTTCCTCCTCTCCACTCATGACTTTTCAGCGGACTCCGCGATTTATCTGTGCGATGGTGGTATAGTGGTAAGCATAGCTGCCTTCCAAGCAGTTGACCCGGGTTCGATTCCCGGCCATCGCAGACATTTTCCTCCGCAGTTTCACACAGGCTGAGTGTCACATCTGGATGTAGAAACTGCTGCAAGCCTTCAGGCTTCACGAAATGGTTCTCTAACCATAAATCAGTAGCGCTTAAAATCTCACTGACGTGTCACGCTTTAAAAATGAGCTTTGCCTGTGTACATTATTACTAAAGCAGCAGCAGCAGCAGAGAGGACAGAAATCAGGAATGTTGACAAATTCTTTTTGAGCCTTTTAAATTTAATGCAGAGCTCTTGCTCTCGTGCTCCTGTGTTCAGTTTAGTGTAGTAACTGACCTTTTGCTAAGCCCCGCCCCGTTGTGATGGTCCAACCAGCTGTCAGAGTAAGCATGAAGCCCACACTGTAACTAACTGCACTCCCTGAAGACATATTATCATATTTTTGGGATAATGAAACAGTGATTCCAGAGAGAAGCAGACAGAGGAGTCTACAGTCTGTGTTTGAAGGATATATCCAGGATGTCAAACTGACTCAGCAGCAACAACAGGTTAAAAAGACGAAGACAGTTAGAAGCTAAAGCCGAACTATAGGCTACAGATCACAGTGTAAAAGTGAACCACCACATCACTGCTGATCGCCACAGAAGACAAAGAATGTAAAGGGAAACTTTGCTGATATTGAGCCAGCTGTGTGGCATCGCTGTGTGTGTGCAGATGAACGGTTCACGGATTACTGTATTGTGCTCTTACTACCACTAGATGGCACAAAAAAGTGTCCACAAACGAGGACAACAGGTCTAAGTTAAGCAGAATGAAGCAGTAAACCCAAAAAGTGATGTCCTCACATAAGGACACAGGGTCTCCGGAGGTTAAAAAGTAGAAGTGAATTGTCCACTCTTTCCAGCAGATGGCCCTCTTACTCTGTCACATTACTGGGAGAATGACATAGGAGGGCTGCCTGCACTGCATAAAGATTTAAAACCAGTCTCATCAAAGCCAAACACCCACTCACATGTGTTTCTTTTATAAAGAGGGAGAGTAGGTGTGAGCAGAAAAACACTTTACACATTTCAGACTCTTTGGTTTCGCTGATGAATAACTAGATGATCTTTGCCTTGGCTCTGAAAGCAACTGGCACCCTTGAATGTACCCTAGAGCAGACATATGAATACATTCAAGATTAATGGGTTAATTTGACAATGACCACAAAAGTTACATAGTAACTAATGTATTACTGCTCAAATCTTCTGATGACTAATTTCTTACAAAGAGCCTTTTCACATCACATGAAACAGAGTACCTGCTTTTTTTCACACTTACAACAGTTCAGTCAGGAACACTTTAGTCAAAGAAAACTTTATTTCCATTTGCAGTATTATATTTGGCGGTATGGCTCTGTTCTGGGGCCCCTCTGCCTTTCCTTGGGCCTGCGCAGAAAGCCTCTTCCACGCACCTACAGTACAGGCCAAAAGTTTGGACACACCTTCTCATTCAATGCGTTTTCTTTATTTTCATGACTATTTACATTGTAGATTCTCACTGAAGGCATCAAAACTATGAATGAACACATGTGGAGTTATGTACTTAACAAAAAAAGGTGAAATAACTGAAAACATGTTTTATATTCTAGTTTCTTCAAAATAGCCACCCTTTGCTCTGATTACTGCTTTGCACACTCTTGGCATTCTCTCCATGAGCTTCAAGAGGTAGTCACCTGAAATGGTTTCCACTTCACAGGTGTGCCTTATCAGGGTTAATTAGTGGAATTTCTTGCTTTATCAATGGGGTTGGGACCATCAGTTGTGTTGTGCAGAAGTCAGGTTAATACACAGCCGACAGCCCTATTGGACAACTGTTAAAATTCATATTATGGCAAGAACCAATCAGCTAACTAAAGAAAAACGAGTGGCCATCATTACTTTAAGAAATGAAGGTCAGTCAGTCCGGAAAATTGCAAAAACTTTAAATGTGTCCCCAAGTGAAGTCGCAAAAACCATCAAGCGCTACAACGAAACTGGCACACATGAGGACCGACCCAGGAAAGGAAGACCAAGAGTCACCTCTGCTTCTGAGGATAAGTTCATCCGAGTCACCAGCCTCAGAAATGGCAAGTTAACAGCAGCTCAGATCAGAGACCAGATGAATGCCACACAGAGTTCTAGCAGCAGACCCATCTCTAGAACAACTGT